GGAAGAAATTAAATCATTATTTGCCGATGGCCCAATACTCTACATAGAAAACCCCAAAAACTCCACCAAAAGTTTGCCAGAATTAATAACAAAATTTGGCAGCATAATACAGCAATGAGTACACAAAATCAGTACTCACAAATCAATAGTATTCCTGTATGAAAATAACAAACTCATTGAGAGAGAAATTAGGGAAACCACACCTTTCACAATAGCATCAAGAAAAATGAAATACTTAGGAATCAATCTAACAAAGGAAATGAAAAACCTACCACATTGAAAACTACAGTATTCTGAAAAAAGGAGATCAAAGAGTAGATCAGAAAATGGAAAGATATCTCGTTCTTGGATAGGCAGAACCAATATAGTGAAAATGGCCATACTTTCAAAACTGCTATATGATTAAATGAAATCCCAATCAAAATACCTATAGCATACCTCATAGAACTGGATAAAATAATGCTAAAATTCATATGGAACCAGAAGAGATCTAGAATAGCAAAAGCAATTCTGGGCAACAAAGGCAAGGTATGGGGCATCACAATCCCCAATTTGAAGTTTATACTACAAAGCTACTGTGATAAAAATGGCATGATACTGGCAAACAAACAAACAAACCTGAGAATCAATAGAAGAGAATAAACAATGCAGAAACAAAAGGACAATAACATGACAATAATAAGTCAGAACATATCAGTTATAACTATCAATGTCAATGGCCTCAACTCACCAATCAAGAGAAATAGACTGGCAGAATGGATTAAGAAGCAAAGTCCAACAATATGTTGCATACAAGAAACACACCTAGTGCAAAAAGAAGTCCAAAGACTGAAAGTGAAAGGATGGAAAACAATTCTCCATGCGACAGGAGCCCCCCAAAAAGCAGGGGTAGCAATCTTATTCTCAGACAAAGTAAATTTCAAACCAAAACTCATTAAGAGAGACAAAGAAAGCCACTACCTACATCCTTGTAAAGGGAACAATTCAAGAGGAAGAGATGACAATCATAAACATATATGCACCAAATATTAATTCCCCCAACTATATAAAACAAATATTAAGTAACATGAAAAACCAAATAAGCACTAATGCAATTGTAGTGGGGGATTTAAATACCCCATTATCACAAATAGATAGATAATCGAGGCAGAAAATCAACAATGAAATACTAGAACTGAATCAAGCTTTGGAACACATGGACTTAATAGACGTCTATAGAGTATTCCACCCCACAAAATCAGAATATACATTCTTTTCAGCTGCACATGGGTCATTCTCCAAGATAGACCACATACTAGCTCATAGAACAGGTCTGAATAAATGCAAAAGAATCGAAGTTATCCCCTGTATATTATCAGATCATATGCAATCAAGCTGGAGATCAATAGCACAAGAAACTGTAGGAACTTCACAAACACATGGAAACTGAACAATACTCTCCTGAACAATCAATGGATCACAGAGGAAATTAAAGAAGAAATCAGACAGCTTTTACAAATAAATGAAAATGCCAATACAACATACAGGAATCTATGGGACACAATGAAAGCAGTTCTACATGGAAAATTCATAGCACTGAATGCCCACACTAGGAAAACAGAGCAAGCTCAAATAAACAACCTAATGATGACTCTTAGACTCCTAGAAAAACAAGAGCAAGAAAAATCCAAAGCTTGAACAAGAGAGGAAATTATAAAGATTAGAGCAGAAATCAATGCAATGGAAACCAAGAAAATGATACAAAAATAAATGAAACAAAGAGTTGGTTTTTTGAAAGAATAAATAAAATCGATAAACCCTTATCTAATCTTATCAAAAAAAGGAAAGAAAAGGCTCAGATCCATGCAATCAGGAATGAAAAAGGCAAAGTCACAACAGATCCAACAGAAATCTAGAGGGTCATTAATACCTACTTTGAGAAACTGTACTCTAATAAATTAGAAAACACAGAAGAAATGGTCATATTTTTAGATACTTATGAATTACCAAAGTTGAACAAAGAAGATTAAAAACATTCTAAACACCCCAATTACAGTCAGTGAAATTCAAAATGTAATTGAAAATTTAGCAACAAAGAAAAGCCCGGGTCCTGATGGATTCACTGCTGAATTTTACAAGACATTTAGAGAAGAATTACTGCCTTTACTCTCCAAACTTTTCAATGGAATTGAAAGGGAAGCAATACTTCCAAATTCATTCCTGGAAGCAAGCATCACTTTGATTCCCAAACCAGGGAAAGATGTAACTAAAAAAGAGAACTACAGGCCAATCTCCTTAATGAATATAGATACAAAAATCCTTAATAAGATACTAGCAAACAGAATACAGAGGATCATCAAGAAGATCATACATCCTGACCAAGTCGGATTTATTCCAGAGATGCAAGGGTGGTTCAACATACGTAAGTCAATAAATGTAATACATTATATTAACAGAGTCAAGGACAAAAACCGTATGATCCTCTTGATAGATGCAGAAAAAGCACTGGACAAAATTCAACACCCATTCATGATAAAACCCTGCAAAAAATTGGAATAGATGGTCTGTATCTCAACTTAATAAAGGCTATCTATGAAAAACCAACAGCTAGCATCATATTAAATGGCCAAAAACTGAAAAGTTTCATGTTAAAATCAGGAACAAGACAAGGATGCCCACTATCACCCCTACTCTTCAATACAGTACTGGAAACATTAGCCACAGCAATTAGACAAGAGAAAAGAAATTTAAGCAATAAAGATCGGAAAGGAAGAAGTTTAACTGTCATTATTTGCTGACGATATGATACCCTACATTGAAGACCCAAAAAACTCTACCAAAAGACTTCTAGACTTAATTGACAGATTCAGTAGAGTAGCTGGATACAAGGTGAACACCCCAAAATCAATAGCCTTCTTGTACACAAATAACAGACTCACTGAGAGAGAAGTTAGGGAAACAATTCCCTTCACAATAGCATCCAAAAAAATGAAGTATCTAGGAATCAATCTAACAAAAGAAGCAAAAGACCTCTACACTGAAAACTACAGCACTCTGAAAAAAGAGATCGAAGAGGATATAAAAAAATGGAAAGATATCCCCTGCTCCTGGGTAGGAAGAATCAACATAGTGAAAATGGCCATACTACCAAAACTGCTATATACATTCAATGCAATGCCAATTGAAATTCCAACACTATATTTCACAGAACTAGAAAAAAGAATCCAAAAATTCATTTGGAACCAACTGGGTAGGAAGAATCAACATAGTGAAAATGGCCATACTACCAAAACTGCTATACATATTCAATGCAATGCCAATTGAAATTCCAACACTATATTTCACAGAACTAGAAAAAATAATCCAAAAATTCATTTGGAACCATAAGAGACCTAGAATAGCAAAAACCATCCTAGGCAACAGACACATGGCAGTGGGTATAACAATTCCCAATTTGAAACTATACTACAAAGCCACTGTGATAAAAACAGCATGGTACTGGCAAAGAAACAGACCTGAGGATCAGTGGAACAGATCGGAAGACACAAAAACAATTCCAGATGTACTCAGCTACCTCATTTTTGACAAAGGAGCTGACCATCCTCAGTGGAGGAAAGATAGCCTCTTCAATAAATGGTGTTAGAAAAACTGGATTTCAACCTGCCAAAGATTAAAATTGGACTCTTATCTTTCACCATGCACTAAATTAAAATCAAAGTGGATTGAAGATCTAAATATTAAAACAGAAACACTAAACTTACTGGAAAATAAGTTAGGCAGAACTCTGGAAGACATTGCATAGGAAAAGACTTTATGAACAAATCCTCAGTAGTAGCACAGGAGTTAGCAGAAAGAATCAATAACTGGGATCTCATCTTATTAAAAAGCTTCTGCACTGCAAAAGAAACCATCAACAGAACTAAGAGACAACCTACAATGTGGGAAATAATTTTACCAGCTGCTCTTCAGACAAATGACTATTATTTAGAATATATAAAGAATTCAAAACAATCAGCCCCCACCAAATATAAAGACCCAATTCAAAAATGGGCATCTGAAATGAACACACACTTCTCAAAGAAATAAAAGCAGCAAGTAAATATATGAAAAAATGTTCCACATCACGGATCATTCGAGAGATGCAGATGAAAACAACACTGAGATTCCACCTCACCTCACAAAGAATGGCTGCTATTAAGAAATCAAACAATAACAAATGTTGGCAGGGTTGTGGGGAGAAAGGAACCCTTCTCCATTGTTGGTGGGAGTGCAGACTGGTGCAACCACTATGGAAATCAATATGAAGATACCTCAAAGAGCTGGGACTAGAAGTTCCATTTGACTCAGCCATCCCTCAGCTGGGTATCTTTCCAAAAGAACTAAAAGAATCATATCACAGTGATGTGCACCCATGTTTATAGCGGCACAGTTTGTAATAGCTAAAACTTGGAAACAGCCCATTTGCCCATCAGTTGGAAACTGGATAAAGAAGATGTGGTTTTTCTATAAAATGGGATATTACTCAGCCATAAAGAATGAGAAATTAGATTCATTCATAGGAAAATGGATACATATTGAGGATATATTCTTAAGTGAAATAAATAAGTCACACGTCTAAATACTGAATAGTTTCTCTGGTGTGAATAAACTGTAATAGTACATAAGATCTTAATGAGATAATTGACATTGTGAAATGGGAAGAAAAGGTCTAAAAGTGTAGGGAAGGTGGGATGGGTAGGGTAAGGGTAATAAGGGAAAAGAAAAAATGTGAGAAAATGAAAAGATGGAAATAAAGTTGTTGTAAATGGGGAGGAGAGGAGGGGTAAAGGGAAGGCAGGGACAAAGGGGAAAAAATGAGAATCAAGACCTGTCATGTAGAGGTACAAGATCCTAACAATGAATGTAACTGTACTGTGTCCCTAAAATGTACCAATAAACTCAATTAAAAAGTAAAAAAAAACCAAAACACCGAAAACAGAAGAGAAAAACACGTTTTAAAAAAATTTCATATAGAATACAGTATCAATAAATTAGTCTCCTTTTGATCCTACTAGCCTGGTTGAAGGAAAGATTGCTTTCAAAATTAAGCTTTTCTTTTCCTAATGATCAATGCAGAGAAGTTTAATTTAATTTGTTTTGGGCTCTAGGAGAATTCCAGGTATGGCTCAGAGACCAAATCCTTAGAAAAGGAGTCTTTTTTCCTTTTCTGAGGGAAAGATGAAAAGGGTCTAGAAGTTAGTGTCATGCTGTCCACATATAGTGTTTATAAAATTGTGGGTTATTGAGAGACAGGTGAGTGCACACACACGCACACATACACAACCAAAATAAAAAATTAAAATTACTGAGTACTATTCAGGTATTATGTACCTAATGCAGTGAGATCCTGGAAAAGTTCTAGATTTTTGGTTTAGAAATAAAACTGCATGTTGAATAGCAGATTTCTATATTTATTATTGTTGTGCACACCCTCCTCCCTGCACTACAATCTAAACTGAGTGATCTATGGCCAACTGGTACCAATTCTCCAAATCAAAGTGTATGCAGGGAACACACTCATGGGATCCTCTCTGACAGAAGACACACCAGGCAATCTGTCTGCTTCTGTTCCCCTGAATAAAATAACAGAGCTTTGTGGCTGGGGGAGGGGCAGGCAGGAGTGCACTCTGCCTCAGCTGGAATCCATCGTGAACAGCTGGATGTCCTGTGGATTCCAGTATAGGCCTACTGCTGAGTTGTAGACCAGAGACCAGACGTATGGGATGAAAAACTCCTCAGGCTGCTCCTCTTCCACATATTTGAATTTCAACTCTGGAAATTTCTGCAACAAAAATAAGATGGTTTTATCATCTCATCATTCCATGCCTAAACAAATGTAGCAGGAGTGTGTAAGTGGTGGTATGTATAGGGGACCTCCCTCCTCTAACGGGTGATAGGTTGAGAGCTCTAAGCTTTTAAAATATTCTGGCAGTCAAATGGCACCTCAGGAAACACAAATTATCCATGGCAAGAAAGAACACAATGGGTCCTGAACAGTTAATGTCAGCTTAGCTGACAGCTTGCTAAGCTGGAACTCAAGCAGGGGTCAAGGTAAAATGAGACACACTGAAACTGAGCAATAGCCCCTGCTCGGAGGGAGGAAGAGTCCAAATGCTCCCTAGTGTGTGATGCCAAGGGCTGGCTCTTCTTGAGCCACCATCTTCAGGGGTGAGTTGTTCTGGAGATGAGGACTCCCCTCCTAAGTCCTGAGCTTGGAGCTGCAGAGGGAAGCATGGGCTGGACTGGTCTCAGCCTCCCTTTGGGTCTAGGAAAGGATCCAGTTTGGCTTACAGGCTCTTGCAGGTGCTCTGGGCTGCACTCTTCAGTCCTGTGCCACACAAGAGAAGACCAGTAGCCTAGCAGCCCACAGCAGCACTTACATTGTAACACTTCACTAGGATTTGGGTTTTGGATTTTCTAATTTTACTCCTGACCTATTTATTCCAGCTGGGATAGAGAAAGATTGTCCTTCCAGGAGCCTGTGGAGCAGCTGGATCTACTAAAAGCCTCTTCCCTCACTGAGGCAGCTCTGGTAAGAGAAGCTGTAGTTTCGTGACCTCTGTGGCAAGAGAGCTGAGGTAGTCCAGGGATTGAGGTGGGTGCAGTAGAAGGTGAGAGAGGGCTGAGAGAGGAGAAAGAAAACAACACCTATCTACACACACATCCACAGCCACATTTATCCCACTATACTTGTAGGGAGATTTTCATTTTTCTTTAGAGACTGTGTCCCCAGAGCCAAGGGCCAAGTACTTAGTAATATAGTGAGTGAATGATTCAGTGAAACAATCAACCATAGACTGGGAACCTCCATGTCTCAGACACACTGGTAGACATTTTATGGATATCATCTTAGTTGATCTTATGAGTCCATTCATCTGCTCAAGTGCCTGGCAGGCTCTGTGTAGGCCATGGCTTAGGCCCATGGGTGTGGTGGCCACACAGAGCTCCTGTCCTTGTAGAAGATATACTCTCATGGAAGATAGGAACCAGCAGCAGGTGTGACAGGAATGAAAGCTGAATAATTATGTCCAAGCAGTAAGAAAGGGAAGATGAGATGGTGCAGAGGCCTGAAGTCATTAGAGGTGGTAGCCAGATGAAACAGGACATGTGTACTGGCACAAGGGAGGCTTGATGTGGGCAGTGATCAGGGGCTGGGCCCAGGAGCCACAGGATGACCCCCTGGAGTGCATGTGAAGGACCTGGAAGCCGGTGAGGGGTCTGAAGAAGGGCACAGCATAATGAGAATGGCCCTGTGCAGTGTGGAGAACCAGAGGGGACAGGTGCTTGGTCCCCAGGGAAGGTGGAATGGGCCTGAGCTAAGATGATATTAGTTGGGTAGACGTAAGAGATATTTAGAAGAGGGGAGGAGTGGATAGATGAACTACACGTGTACACATGTGCACCAACTCCAGTTATAGGAATTCTGGAATTACACAGTGATAAAGACATCTAAGTGCCAAATCCCCAGAGCTCCAAAAGCATCAGATAAGGGCAGCATTAAGCAGGAAGTGCTTGATGGCCTCATACTAGTCTGTGTTCCATCATGACAACAGGAATTCCTAAAAGGGAGGTACACTGCCCATTGATGTTCCCGCCACACCCTTCAGACATAGCACAGTTCACCTGCTATGGCTTTAGGAAAAACCAGTACCCTACTTCATGGCTCCCAGAGTACCATGTACAAGTTGATATATACCAGTGGCTTTCCTACATGGCCAAATGCCAGCACTTCCTACCTTATACCTTCCCTCGTGCTCTCCGCCACCCCACTGCTCTGGTCCCTTTCCAAGGTGCCTTGGGTGTAACGAAAGCCCAGGCCACTAAGACACCTTGCATATGAAATGAGTTCTCCAACACTGCCAATGTGCACAACCTAATGATACTGTCCCTGGCTGTTCTCAGAGGACACTAACTGGGCTCTCGGCATCAGCTCAGGGATGTGACTCTATTTCCAACACTTGCTGATGTGATCTGGGTTTCAACTAGGCCCCTCAGCTTTCTACTCCCATGTCATCCAATCATGAAGCCTCTGAGTCCCTCCCACCCTGAGCCAGCATTCTGGGTGCACTGGGTAATCTCCTGGGGCTTGGTGCCTCTGGCATCCTTGATGAGCCACCTTTCCTCATGTTATAGTGTTTCTAGCCTGGCACTGGGGCTCTTAGGTATGTGGAGGTAGGCTGCTTGGAGGTGGTGGTAAGCCTCTGTCATGGTTCTTTGTTTTGTTTTTTGAGACAGGGTCTCACTATGTAGTTGAGACTGACCTAGAACTCACTATGTAGCCCAGGCTGGTCTTGAACTCACAGCGATCCTCCTGCCTCAGCCTCCCGAGTGCTGGGATTACAGGCGTGTGCCACCATGCTCGGCAAGCCTTTGTCATGGAAGTAGGTGTCTTTTAATACCAACACTGTGATACTTTTTGTAAAAATCTCCATCTGTAGCAACAGGGTGTAGCCAGAAGTTACCACTATAAGGAGTTATTGGCTGCATATGCACCACATGAGGTAAGGTCCTCAGTTATCGGGTCAGTCACCACAACATCCTGCAGGGCCAAATCACTCCACTAGCAGAGAGAACAGTCAGGCTCCACTGGACCCAAATCTAGTTTGAGGTCATATGGCCTGCTGGGTGGAGTCAGGCTGAAAGTTCCAGTCTGACTAAATGTGCAAGGTCAATCTGAAAAGTGACAGATCAGAGTTCTAGCCCCATTAATACTTTGTCCTTAAGCTCAATCCTTTCAGGCTCCATGAAACTCTTCAGGATTAGTTCTGAACAAAACTTAGGATACTGCTGGTCCTTAAAAAATAACCACAAAGTCACAATGATGTCACTCGTCAAGAAAGGGTGGGAGACTGTTTAAGAAAATAAATTCACCCCAGAGTAATGGAGATGAGAGTCCCCATTCTTAGAATGGCCTCAGATGTTGGAAAACCTCTCATTTGGATGAGATGTAAGAATCGGGTGGGGGCAGAAGCAGTGGTTTGAAAAGGTCAGTGTTCCCCCACTGCCTTTTTTGGTTGGAATAATAACATCCTACATTTCTATGAGGTAACACAGCCATTAATAGGTACTTCTTGTTAGAAAAAAAAATGACTCAAAGATGTGAGGACTTTTCTCCATGCAGTGACATATTTGGGGGTTTTTCTGTGAAGCCCTAGGAGGGAACATGAGGCAACTTATGGGCTGTAACAGGAAATAAAATGAAAAAGTTGGGATGGGAGGAGGGATAATGCTTCAAACTGCTCTTATAAAATGCTTTCAACCAAATTGCAGAAACCTGGGTGAGAACTACTACTAAGTTCATCGCTGGCACCAAGTTTACATGTCCTTATGGCCCTGGGACATTCTGGTGATGATCTAGCTAGAAAAAGTAATGAGTTGAATACTACCCCAAAATCCTGCAGAGGCGGAGCTCGGAAAGCACCAGCACCTTAGATGATCCTTCCCAGCAACTGGTAATAATGGGGGAGAAAATGCCTTGAGGCACTGTCAAAGCTGCAATGCCTCTCCCTCTCTGCAGAGGCACAAATTTGAAAGACTCTGGGCAGTAATGGTCACTGCTTCCAGATGTCGTGAACAAAATCTCAATGTGGGGTGATTGCCAACAAGGGCATCCTGTATCCAGTACACAAAAATAGCATGAGCTTTATCTGCCAACAGGTGGACAGGTGTAGACTTCATTATGAAGTTATTCATCCAGCTGATCAATGATTATTTCTATAGATGTTCTCCATAAAAACTTACTAACAAATTCTGAAATTACAGCTAACTACTTATAGCTGACATAGTAGATGACATATAGCAGGCATACAAACACTTTATATATAGCTATTCATTTAGTCTTTGAAATAACTAGAAGAAATACTTGAAAGGCAGGCAGATACTTTGAGTTTTAGCCCCATTCACTTTTATCTGTCCATTCCTTTATTCTCTCAGCAGATATTTACTGAGGGCCTAGTGTACAGTATGCACAGAACTAAAAATATGGCTGTGACTAGGACATACACGGACCCAGTATTTATGGGATAAAAGTTTGGTACGAAATAGCTAGGTGACTTTAGACAGGTTTAATCCTTTCAGACTGAGGCCCTTACAAGATAAAGTTTATTCTCTGAAATTTTTTAATTTAACCATCCTGTTTAGTTCACAGAGTTGCAGCAATAATCAAATGAGATAAGCCATGTGATAAGGGGCTATAAGTAGTTCCTAACACAGAGAAAGTGCTCACTAATTGTTGGCTATCATTACTGACATTAAAATGATAAGCAAATGCAAAGTAGTTCAGTAGCCAAATCTAGAGGCTAGATACACGGGACTGGCCTGGTCACAAGCCCATTTCTCTTATGCCACCTAACTGACACGTGTCACTTGGCAAGTCTGTTTCCTACTCTTAACAGAAACATAAAGAGCTGGGTGTGGTGGCTCATGCCTGTAATCCCAGCATTGGGGCGGCTGAGGAAGGATGATCGCTGTGAGTTCGAGACCAGCCTGGGCTACATAGTGAGTTCCAAGTCAGTCTCAACTACGTAGTGAGACCCTGTCTCAAAAAACAAAACAAAACAAACAAAAAAATGAAAAACAAACAAACAAAAAGAAACGTAAAGGTCCTCAGCCTCCCTGCATGAGTGTCAGGAGCAATTGCTGACAAAGGGCTGCAAACCAAGAGACTTGGGGGGGCTGGATCACAGACCTTTTTAAAAGAACAAAGCCCCCTTCTAGAGAGAAGGCAGGTCTTATATTTGTCTCAGAGTTAGGCTCAGCAGAAAGGAGGGAATGGACTTTAGG